CCTACTGCTGAAACTTCTAAATAAATATTTCTCTAAAATGTGCAATTCTCAGAACAAACGGATTTTCAGCTCTGGAGTAATGGATAGCGGCTCGGATTGGGGAATCGGAGAGCCGAGTTCGAATTCCACTCGAATCCATTACATTCACTTATTACACTCGGGAAAGGTATGAATCTTTTTCTTCACTCCCTAGCTATGAGTAAATAGCAAGACAGACCGAGTTCTATAGCCTTTGATGGCGACTAGTCTACCCCAGAAAGAAATGGTAACCTACCGAGGGAAACAAATCTGCCTCGTCAGTCATATATCGAAAGGTACATGATCGTATAAGCGTGTATCACGCATGGCACATAACTGAATGAAATTCACTTACGTGCTAATACCCTTGGGAAAGGTATAAATTCTTTTCTTATAGATATGTAAGATGGTGATTGGCATTGCCTTTAGATTTGTGAAGATTGTAGTTATCAGGGAAGCAAACAAACGTAAGGGAGTTCCAAAGGTGGGAAGTGCGAGAAAAAAACTGTTGGATTAGAAGTGGCGGTTGCATTTAACTATTTCAATAGTAAAAGTGTGGGAATTAGATGCTCATTCACGTAGTCGGAGAACCAGGGAAAAAAGCTTATCAGAGAAGTTGCCATGAAAATATTTGTATAAAGGACAGAGAAATGCCGCGTCACGTCGGTGAGGAAGGAACTGGTCGATATGCATGCTGTCAGGATCGTGCCAGAAAATTTTCCTCGTTAGAATCCATCTTGCATATTTATAAATCTAAAATTCGTCTGTGCATTGAATACTGTTTCCATATCTGGTTTGGTGCACATGCTATACATCAGGAGTTCCTTCTTTGAATTTTGTCAAGAATCTCGAGATGTGTGTACCCGACCAGATATAGCAACAGTATTCAATGCAAGAACGAATGGTAGATTTCTAAATGTGCAAGATGGATTCTGACGAAAAAGATTTTCTCATACGACACAGTTGGACAATTTTTCTTGCAGTAGATGAAGCAATAGATTCGATAAAGTCCCTCCTCTTCCTGTTAGTGTGAATGAGATTTCTCAGTGTTCTCTTTTGTGGTTTGCTTAGACGTGAGTGCTTGTCGAGTGTTTCTTGCGTCGACATTATACCAAAATGAGGTAACTGAGCAAACAGTTTAGATTTTAAAGATGACTTTTAATTAATATATATAACAGACAATTTTTATTATTTCTAACATCAATGTTAGCTTAATTATATGTAAGTTCAGCGTTATAAGGTAATTTTTAGTATAAGCTTTTTTTTATGTGTAAGCAATACAATGTGTAGAAGACATGTACTAATTTGAAAGGAAAATTGATATTCGTCTTATTGTATCTGTTGAACCCGGAGTTGAAAAGATAATATTCCTTTCCGTCCGTAAATTATGACATATATATATATATATATATATATATATATATATATATATATATATATATATATATATAAATATTCCATATATATATATACATATTCTTTTCAGAAAGTACAATATTATATAAAAACTAGCAGCATGGCCCAGCGTTGCCCGTGCTTGATTCAAAAATCGTAAGACTCATACAGCAATCGCTATCACTTGACTTAAAATATTTTTGCTCTTCCTTGCCTTTAAAGGAGTGCCCTTTGCCGTGCTGATGTTGCTACATGCCTTACTTCTTGCCTATATCACACTGCCAGTTTTTTCTAAGCTCTATACTAAACATTAAATCTGTTACGAAAAAAGAACTAAACAAAATGAACACAAAACGATCAGCTTAAAAAAAAAGGACTCGTAACTGGAAAAACCGAATGAAAAAAGAATGTTAACAACAAATAATTTTTCACACCCAACCCAGTTCTGCGGAATCAGAATCAACATTGAGTTTAAGCAAGCGAATGAGCCAATTGGAGTAAAGTGCCATGCAGATTTAAATTTTTCCCACTTGTGACGAATGCAGCTATTGATTTTTTTTTTTGCATGCTATCATGCTAGTTAACATTCGTGTCAGTCAGCCGTTGGCTCTTACGTTGGCCAATAGAATCTTCCTGCCTATTCGTGGCAGCCAGCTATTGGCTCTCACTCTGGCAGGTAGAAAATTGCCGCAAATTACATGAAAACTGCCGTAGAAGCATGAAAAAATCGATTATTTCCACTATCGATGGGAGTTGGGAAATGCAAAGTCAGTCTTGGTCTTCCGGCTAACTTGGAGCATGTGTATGTAAATTTTGGGGCAAATCCGTCGAAAATTGCGTCCGTGCATTCGTCACACACACACACACACACACACACACACACACACACACACACACACACACACACACACACACACACATCCTGCCTTTTATAGATAGAGATTAGATACTTATATATTTTCTTTCAGCCCATTTTTCTTTTTCTCAGCCTCAGTAAATACTTTTAGATTTAAGACGTTTTGGAGATAATAAAGATTTACAGATACAAGTCCCACTAATTAATCCTTAGCTGAGGGGTAGAAGAGTACTATTCTTTTATGATGTCAGCGAATACTCTCTGTCAATTTCGTGATGTCAACGAATACTCTCTGTCACTTTCGTAATGCTTATTGTAGTAGAGCCTTTGCAGTCGCAGATACAACTATAGTACGCCGGTGAACAATACTGGTGTCAGACATCTTCGAAAATCGCTCGGACGAATAGTATTTGCTCGATAATACTCGCGTGAATAGTAACCACCGAACAGTGATCCAAATAGTGTGATAGTCTAGTGAATAGTATAGAGAAATAATATAGACTAAAAATAGTGATCTGTATAGTAATAGAGGATAGACAAGAAATGGCGATCGTTTAGACGTCACGCTACTTTCTACTTAGGCGTTTCCTCTATGGTTACGTGGTCTACTTAATTCAATAATTGGGTCGCCTGTGTTTGCTCACCCCTCATTTTATATAAAAAAAGAATTTCACATAAGCTTGCCACTTTCTTTCCTTCTTCTTGGCTCAACTGTTAATTTTTGTGAAGGTAAGGTTTTCATTGGTCCCAAAACTATTTTAAATAAGCATTGATTTCCTTCTTCTTCCGCAGTCCTCCGTATCTGAAGAGAGTGTGTGAAGGGTATTATTATTATTATTTCGCACACGCTACAGGTAGATCATTAAAACAATTGCCATGAAAATATTTATAGAAAAGACAGTCATCCTGGTGGAAAAACATTGATGCTAGCTCAAGACAGATATCCTTCCAGACCTTACTTTTTTGAGAATCTCTGAGCATATTATGGGCATACCAGACCAGATATGGCTGCAATATCCAATGCACGAAAAAAGGTAGATTTCTAAATGTTTAATATGAATTGTGGCGTAAAAATTTGTCTGGTATGATAAATTTAACTTATTTCTTAGTCGCAGGCTAAACAATTGATTTCATATAATCGCCCCTCTTCATGTCAGTGGAAAAAGTGAGAGCAAAAGGTCGTAATGAGCTACTCTTCTGGAGGTTAGAATCAGCCATATTGATGGAGGGCAAAAATAGGGTTCTGTGTTAATTAAAAGATACTAGTTTCATTTTTTGGAGGTGTTAAAATTTACAAGCCATTTTTTGCCCCAGTTATCAAATGATTGGAGGCAATTTTCGAGAGCAGCTGTCAGTTTTACTTTATCGGACCTATCAGACTTAGTATTAAACAAGAATAAATAGTTGTGTCATTAGCATAAATATTGCTTCGGGAAATGATGATATCGGGAAGGTCATTGATGAAGATAAGAAACAATAAATGATCAAGGATAGATC